TATATATATATAGGAATGATCATTTGAGAACTCATAGTTTCTCATGAACCCGAGAACTAAAGGTAGATCGTTAGATCAAAAAATCTAAAGGTTGTGATTAAAGATGACATTTTTGTAAATAAGTTGAAAAAACAAGAAACGGGGGCATCGAAATTAAATGGCATTAGGGGCATTTCAAGGTTATAGAATTTGACTCCATAAACACGTCTCCTGATCACCATTCCCTATCAGATCTCACACACTCACCCTCTCTCACTCACACACATACATACGTCTTCATCTGTTCAGATGTAGATCAACAGTTGATTCAGTTTTCATGGTCGTTGTTCAACAATCGGTAAGTGCTTCCTCGCCTTGTTTTGCCGTCACTTTAACTGAGGATAACGACCACAAAGACAAATGACCCTAACCTATCGGCAATCGCAACCCTACCATCGCAGCGCTACCACCAAATCAAAAGTCGCAGGAAGACAGGAAGAACGCTCTAAGCCCTAAGGTCTCAAAATTGTAGGTTTGAGTCTCATCTCTCTTCTCTCAGTGTATAGAATACTAGAATCGGTTTCATCGATTTTGACAGTTCATGGGGATACAATGGCCGATCCATCGCCTGATGTAAAGGAATCGTTTGGAAAATACTCCGATGATGGGATCCATATGAGTTTCGATCAACTGCTACTGTTCATTGAGGAGTTCCAGGGCAGCGATGGTGCCTCAATTTCAATATATCTAATCGATTCCCGAGTTTCCGTTATCTTATCCAACATAACAAACTCCATTGAAGATGATTTGACCATGAATTGATTCGTCTGTGACTATCGACAGGTATGTTATCTGTTATCTTCAATTCTTAGTTTTTTTGGTTTCTTTTTTCTCTTTTAACTGAAATTGTTTGTGTGTTCTCTTAATACTCTTTCATGTTCAGGAAAACATCTATAAGTTTGCAAAAAAAGGTTTCCCCCTATCCCAGATTGGTGTTATTCTTCGTGATTCCCATGGTATTGTCCAGGTGAATAGCATAACTGGGAGCAAGATTCTCGGGATTCTCAAAGCAAATGGTAAGCATTATCATTCTCATAATCTTATTGCTATCTTAATGTTATTCTTGTGTCTGCACTCTAAGGTGTGTAATTAACTTGAAAAAATGTTATATTGTTTGTGTTTATGGCTCTTTTTTTAGTTTTTGGTATTCTATGTTTTTATGCTATGTCATCTTTTTTAGGTATTGGGATTTGAGACAACAGAATCCAGTCCACACACAACAACTACCTGATCGTTGCTATGGACTTACAGTGAGACATCCTTTGATGGTTGTTGCAACAGGAGATAGAAATCTTATAGCATTCAACTTACAAAACCCTCTGGTAAACTGTTTTTATATAATTCATACATTCGCGTATCTGAGGCCACATTTTGTATCTTTTTCAATAAAGTTTTTGGTGTGATGGAATTGGACACAAAATGCAGTGGTATAATGGCTATTTCCATTACATTACTTAGCCTTATTCCATTCCATTCATTTCTTTCTCATTCCATTCCATACAACCAAACATACCCTAATTGCCAAAAAGTTAACTAAGTTTACTTTTATGTTTAACAGGCGGAGTTTAAGATCACAAGTGAATCACATATGAATTACATGTGATTCACATGTAATTCACATATGAATCACATGTAATTCACATATCAATCACATGTAATTCACATATGAATCACATGTAAATCACATGTAATTCACATATGAATCACATGTAAATCACATGTAATTCACATATGAATTACATGTGATTCACATGTAAATCATGTATGTATTTTTGTGATTGTTTTTGCATCAATCATTTTTTTTTAATTTTCTTGTGGATTTGGAAGAAATTGTGGTGAATATTGAAGATGTGAAAAATGATAAAATGAAGAAAATATGGAAATATTGACACGAAGACATTAAAACGCTTTGAAATTTTGTAGCATTTTTTTTTGTTTTTTATATTTAATTTTGTATCGAATAAAATAGTTATTCTATTGTATTTATAGATTAGTAAATAAAATGAGTTTCCTTATGATTTCCTTACAAATATTATAGTATATGAAATATGCATATATATGCATTTGTAAAAATATGCATATATGAACCTAAATTGTTGATTTTTTTGGTTAAAAAATTATAATATTTTTTAAATATTTCAGTTTTTTTTTAATTTTACTGATTTTTAAATGCTTTTAAAAAAATTGCAGTTTTTTAAAAAAAATATTTTTTTCAATTTTTTTCAAAAACTCATGATTTCTATAAAAAATTAAAAAAAATCTGCACTTTTTTAAAAAAAAAATTGAAAAATACTATTTTTTTAAAAATCTGAAAATTTGATTTAGGGATAATGACTTAAAAGGGTAATATATTTTTCGATTTGTACACATTTGGTCACTGAGTTTTTTTT